TTATTTTTTATTAAAAATTGTATGCCTTTTTTAAATATTTATATTAGTTAAGTTACTTTTTAAAAGACACCATTCCGATTCTTTGTTAAAAAAACAATGCCATTAATATTTTCTTTTAGTCACTGTATTAGTGAGTTAAACTTTTATAAATAGGTATTACCAAGTGATAGTAAAATCATTTTAAGGATTTTTTTAACAAAAACTAAAAAAAGTAACGAAATAGACATTGGTATCACAACGGACTGGGGTACACAAAGGACTTAATCAGATAACGTAAAAAAGAAACTATATAGGGTGGTACGATTTTAGAGTAATGCATAAACAAAATCCCTTGTAGTGGTGCTCACTTGCAGAATAACAACTTAGATTTCTAAATTATAGACACCCTTTTTCTTTGACTGTAAGCTGGTGTCTTTTAGTACTTGTATATTGCGTGGAATTTTCCCTTGGATGTAATCTATATCATGAGTTATAATCACAAATAATTTTAAATTGGTTTATCATAAACTAATTTTAATAAAAGCGACGGTAAATATCCACTTTGTTGTCGAAAAATTCTATTGCGTTACCCTAAATTCCATTTCGTTACCATAAGGTAACGTAATGGACTCGGTAACGCAATGGACAAAGTTTGGTGAAACCATATTTAAAAATAATAATAAAACAATACAGTCATTAATTACTCTTAATGTGCTTTAGTGCCCTAAAATAAACATAAACATGAAAACTAGTATTTTTTCTTACCTTATTTTTATTAATTTTTTGAGTAACTTAGCGGACAAACAATTATTACATTCGCGTTACCCGCACCTGTTTCAACCGATATCTTCTTCCTGATTGAATAAATAAATTCAGCTGGGTAATGTGTACGTCCGAACATCATTTGTTTATCACGTGAGTGCCCAAAAAGTTGCCATATATATGTTTTTTAAATATTCTATCGGTAACGCGACGGACGTAACGCAACGGAAAAAATGTCTGGGACATGAGTCAAATTTAAAAAAAGTAGATTAAAATTAATTAATTTATATATAAATTGTTTACTGTATTAACTATGGATGTTATGGATTGCTATAAAGCAACACAAAGTTCTGGTTATTCAATATTTAAAAAAAAAAAATTTATGTAAGTTTTATAAAATGCTAATAGGACATGCGAAAATGTATGTTTCACAAGTTTCAAAATTAAAAAAAAATTATTCTGAAATAACTAAACAAACATTCTCTGAAATAGTTTACTAAGGGCTTGTTAGGCTTTCACTTGGTTGTTAAATCAATAAGATAATTTTTAACAAAGTTATTGGAATTCAAACTTACGGACAGCGGAAGGCGGGTGTTTTTTGAAAACGACCCATTTAGAAAAAATAAACTCGAAATTGAAAATATAGCCAAGGATCTTGGTGCCTCGTCATATTTAAATTTGAAAATATTATACCCTCACCGTCTTGTAATGTTATTATTATTTGTTGTCCATACAAACAATAAATAAAATTGTAGTAATAATGTGGCCTTAATTTAATTAATTTTTGCACTTTTGGTATTGTCTTCGAGCGGCAGTAAAGGTACCTTTATAAAGAAAGATTAATATTCGCAGGAATTTACTGCATTCGGCGGTGCAAGTGGTTGTTATTACCTAGCCGCCCTTCCAGCGAAGAAGATAAGGTGCCTGTTTAAATTTTCCTTGTAAAAGTTGTGTCTAATAAGAAAATGGGGTAGAGATGGCAGGTTGAAGTGGCAAAAAAAGCGACATAATATATTCAAACAGAACGTAAATTTTCCAATTTGTTCTTACTTTTTTCCCGTATTTACATATTTCCCACTATCTTCTACCTGTTATCGTATCATGAAATGGAAATGCAATTTTCTGCCAGGCATAATTTCGCACGTAAAATTCCAAATATCTTACTATATACACACACACACGAATTTTTACGTATATGTTTTCGGCAATTATTTATATATTCACCGCCTATTCGTATAAGTAGACTCGAAATTTTATATCCAATTATTCGCCTCTTCATCGTTTAATCCCACATAATTTTTAATCAATAAAAGTTCGCAATTCAATATTAATTAGTGGTCAAACCAAAAACGCCTTTCGGTATTTTATTTATAAAAAACAACCCGCTTGTAAGGACTATACAGTAAAAAAATATTTGTTAATTTTAACTAACATTTTGTAGATTTAATAACAAAATTCTATGGTCTCTAGAAACGTTGATTTATTTATATCAAATGATTTAGCATATCAGTGGATATAGGTTTTTGCACGGCATGGCAGTATTTTTCTTTAAAAACTGTTGTTTTATAAAATAAATTGGGTAATTATCTTTCAACGTTTATATTTTCCATAAAAAAGTCGATTTCTATACATTGACATTTTAAATTAGACAAAAAACAATTAAAATTTTATTTGACATTTGTGACATTTGCTTTTAATAAAATCATCTAAAATGTAAATCGGTTGATATTATTTATATCAGTCGTTAACGACTGATTTAAACTATGAATAAAAATAGACAGTATTTTTGTTTGTAAATACATATGGGTGATTCTACAAAAGTTGACAACTTGATGTCATCAGTCAATAGAGTAGGTATTTTAATATTTTTTGTAAATATTTTAGTAGGTATATTACAAAAGATTCAGGTTTTTTTAACTTGTCAACCCAATTTTAATGTATTTTTTCAAAAGCACGCTTGTAGGTAGGTAGAGTAGGTATTTTAATATTTTTTGTAAATATTTTAGTACCTATATTACAAAAGATTCAGGTTTTTTTAACTTGTCAACCAAATTTTAATGTATTTTTTCAAAAGCACGCTTGTAGAAAAACATAATAAATATTCAAAACGTCAGTACCTTGGCGTGTCACAACTCCTGAATCAAATATTTGAGTAATTTTATTTTAAAATATATTCAATTTATCTTAAATTTTTCAATTTCACTACAAACTATAAAACATTAAATAATGTATTTTTCATATTTTATCATAGATTCGAATAATAGCAATTTTAAAAAAATTGATAATCTTTGTACTCACTTTTACCCGTTAGTTCTGTGTCCAATGTTAAAATTCAAAATTCCTGCGAAATATTGAAGTTTAAACGTCAAGTGTTGGTAAAAAATTACCTACAGAGCCCGCCCTTTGCACGACAGTCATCTTGAAAACAATGCAAGCGGCGAAGTTGTGGTGAATGCACGAAAAGTTCCAGTCAAAATTGGGGAGTAGTTATTTTCTTACGTATATATATTTCGTTGTAATTTATATAAGGCTATATGTGATTTTTTGATAAGTGACATCCACTAATAAAAAATATCAGTAAAATACTTAATTCCGAATTATAACCTCATATTTGTATCCCATTCATCAGTACAGTTTCATCAGTTCCATGTTCGATGTTTCGGTTATCTTTTTTTCGCAAACTTCAATTTAAATTCTGCTTGCGCAGAACTTGTTTATTTAATGTCATGTCACAGATATTTTGGAAACTGTTTGAAAAAGTGACTGGCCCGGTCTGGAACAATATATTTATTATATTATCTATGTTCTCATAACAAAATACTGTTTAATTTTCTACGAAAACTATATAAACCAAATGAGGTCAAAAGTTGCCCAACTTTTGTAGAATCACCCATGTATATAATATCTTTAAAAAAATGTTATAGGTATGTTTACCTGAATTTATTTTTTCATATATGTAAATATATTATATACGGGCGTTTCTCTGTAAACTGGGCAACTCATTGTCTCAAGCTAATATTGTTTAGAAAAATAACAGATCATAAATATTTCGTAGCTAACTTCAAAAGATAATAACCTAATCTACCTATGCTCGACGTTCAAAATCCAATAAATTAAACTTTAATGTATCAAAATCGTTTTTATAGTCCTTAAAAACCAGTCCCCTGACGTGTCACCAAAGCAAAATGGTCACTTCAGACTAAATTAATTAAAGACAGTAACTATTGGAATCAACCTAATTGTTTAATTATTCAACCAATATTGTTTGCTTGTTACTGTGACTTATTTGTTTTTTATAATTATTATTTTGTAATTCTAAAAAAGTCATCTAAACTTTGTCTCCGGATTTTATAAACAGTCCCCTGTATAGATTTTTCAGAAAATGCTCAATGTTTTCCAAAGTAATAGGACTATTTTTGGTTCATCTGCCGTATACTAATAAATAGACCGATATTTATTCCTCGAATAACATTTATTAAATACAACAAAAATATAACAAAAAAACTTGCCTAGACAATTTCTTACTTCAAGTTGCCCAGTTTACAGAGAAACGTCCATACACATATGAGGAGTGATTTTTCAAAAGGCCTTATTTCCATTTTTACTTTAATGTAATTTTTTGACAAATCCCAAAGGTATGGTTAAAAGGCATATATTAACGGCGAAATATGACAGCAGGTCTGAAGTATTATTAAATATTCATCAGATTTTTTTTAAATAATCTATATTGCCCTAACCTATACAGGTTATAGTCATTTTTTTGAAAAATTGTTGCAAATGGAAATACGACCTTTTGAAAAATCACTCGTCATATATAAAAAAATAAATGAATTTATTTATTTAAGATAAAATTACTACCAGCAACCAATTTTTGAGTATAGCTCCCTCCTTTTGATTTAAAAAGTTTATTCTGAAGCCATAATAATTATTTATGTATATCAAGCATTAACTAACATATTTTATCCTCTAGAGTTTGTTTGTGACAATTGTAACAATTTTCGATGAAAAAAGTGGGATAATGGGGTGGGGGGTAAATGGTGGGGGCAAAAAATTTAAAATTATAATTATATGATTATTTTTTAATAAAACTCAAGTATTAATATCACCCTCAATTTTTTGATCTAGCAGGAAATCCCGTGTAAACTGACAATAAACCGCATATAAGCGAGGAACTCGTATTATCCTCTATTTTCCTGCTGAATTGAATTCGGCCGCCTATAACCCGGATACCATTAGGAACTGTTAATCGAAATACACACCTGCGTCCTGCCGACGCCGCCTCTCCTGCTGCCGGCATTACAGATGTAAAGTGATACCGCAACGATTGCAGGGCATTCCAGTCGAACGTGACGGCGGCAGGAATGTCCTGCAACAAGGCGTCCTGCAAGGTGGAGGAAAGTTATTAGCGGAAAATTGGCGGCGGCCTGGAATTGTTCGGATCCTTCGCTTCGGTCTGCAGGAAACAAAAGGAGCAAACATCGTTGTGATGCTGTCCTGCTGGAACTTGTATAAGCATAAGTAATTGCTATAACAAAAATATAAAACTCTCTAAGCTGTCTTAAAGTTAACTAGAACTGCAACTCACACAGTAAAAAAAAATTTGTTAATTTTATCCAAATATTAACCAGATTTTATGTTGGTTTACAACTGTTATCTAATTGAATAGGTAAGTTTGAATTCCAATAACTTTGTTAAAAATTATCGGATCTTATTGGTTTAAAAACCAAGTGAAAGCCTAACAAGCTCTTAGTAAACTCTTTCAGAAAATGTTTGTTTAGTTATTTCAGAATAATTTTTATTTAATTTTGAAACTTGTGAAACGCACATTTTCGCATGTCCCATTAGCGTTTTATAAAACTTACATACATGTTTTTTTTTTAATATTGAATAACCAGAACTTTGTGTTGCTTTATAGCAATCCATAACATCCTTAGTTAATACAGTAAACAATTTATATATAAAATAATTATTTTTAATCTACTTTTTTTTAAATTTGACTCATGTCCCAGACATTTTTTCCGTTGCGTTACGTCCGTCGCGTTACCGATAGAATATTAAAAAAACATATATATGGCAACTTTTTTGGCACTCACGTGATCAACAAATGATGTTCGGACGTACACATTACCCAGCTGAATTTATTTATTCAATCAGGAAGAAGATATCGGTTGAAACAGGTGCGGGTAACGCGAATGTAATAATTGTTTGTCCGCTTAGTTACTCAAAAAAATAATAAAAATAAGGTAAGAAAAAATACTATTTTTCATGTTTATGTTTATTTTAGGGCACTAAAGCTCATTGAGAGTAATTAATGACTAATATTTTATTATTATTTTTTAAATATGGTTTCACAAAACTTTTTCCACTGCGTTACCGAGTCCACTACGTTACCTTATGGTAACACAATGGAATTTAGGGTAACGCAATAGAATTTTTTGACAACAAAGTGGATATTTACCGTCGCTTTTATTAAAAGTAGTTTATGATAAACCAATTTAAAATTATTTGTGATTACAACTCATGATATAGATTACATCCAAGGGAAAATTCCACGCAATATACAAGTACAAAAAGGGACCTTCACCAGCTTATAGTCAAAGAAAAAGGGTGCCTCCAATTTAGAAATTGTTATTCTGCAAGTGAGCACCACTATAGTGGTATACAAGGGATTTTGTTTATGCATTACTCTAAAATCGTACCACCCTATATAGTTTCTTTTTTACGTTATCTGATTAAGTCCTTTATGTACCCCAGTCCGTTGTGATACCAATGTCTATTTCGTTACTTTTTTTAGTTTTTGTTACTTAAAATGATTTTTAAACACTATCACTTGGTAATACGTTTATAAATTAAAGTTTAACTTACTAATACAGTGAATAAAAGAAAATATCAAAAGTATTGTTTTTTTAACAAAGAATCGGAATGGTTTCTTTTAAAAAGTAACTTAACGAACATACATATTTAAAAAAAGCATACAATGTTTAATAAAAAATAAAATAAAAAATTGAAGTCAAAAGTTTGTGAACTAAGTACATTTTATTTCAAATTATTTTTATAACAACTTTTTTTATTGAATTAAATTTTGGATTTCAAATTGGTAACACAGTGGAGATATATAAAGCTAGCTAAACACATTTTTCTGAAAAAAACATAAAAAAAGTGCACTGCCTGTCTTAAATGTAAGTAAACAAAACTAAACATTTATAAAAATCCAACCAAAAGTCAATTTAAGCAAAAAAACATTTTGACCTTCATTTTCCTAAAAGCGGGTGTTTCTTGAAAATGACCCAATTATAAAAAACATTTTGTAGATTTAATAACAAAATCCTGTCAATAACTCAGCCATAATTCTTTTAATTTTCAAAAAGTTGTTACGAACACGTTACGAATTAGAATAAAGTAAGCAGAAACATAAGTTGCAGACGCTGAAGTCAGTTGAACTTGTTGATGCGTATTGTCAGTGGGAAATGTTTTAATTGACTGACTGAAATCATACAAATTATACAAAATTGCATATTACCTTTACAAAACTTTTGGTAAAATATTTCCTTTGCTAAAATAATTACACACAGGTTTTCTACAAAAAATTATGTTAAAATTTTACAAAATAATATTAACAAACTACAAACTCATGTTAACAAATTTGTTTAACAGTGTATATCATTTGGAAATGATATAAAACAGTTTAGATGATTTTATGACATTTTGGTAGGTAACTTTAGTATTTCATGAAATTAGCGACATTTTTGTCATTTATTTCTGTATTTGTTAAAATTTAATAAATGCTAGAAATTATGAAACTTCTGAAATTACAACATTTTTAATTAAATCAACTTTTCAGCGCACATTTCCACTAATAAATTTAAATTTGTCCTTTCGGCACAGCCGAACTATGCATAACATTAATTAATAGTAAAATTGTTTACGGATGTATAAACCTCAACTATTTCCGAATTAAAACACTTGAAGCACTCACCGAAAATTGTAATTTTGCTAATATCTTGAGCATACTAAGTTCGAATTAATAAAGTCCTTCACGTTAAAGTTGACGGTATCTTAAGGACCATAGGAAAGGGAACCAACCAACCAATTTATATACCTATAGATTGATTTGTATACATAGATATAGATGCATTTCATTAGAAACCGAACTACTAATTGGAAATTATTAGGAAATTATAAATGTGCATATATACTGTAAAAACAAGAGTTCTATAAATAGTTCCATTATAACTATCTCAGTCCGTAATAATATAGAACTACTTTATTTTGGGTCCAATATAGGACAAAAAAGTTTGCAAGTTACTTTGGTAGTAAGATTTTTGTTTTTTTTGTAACGAGCAGGGCTGTGTTTAAATTACAATAAAAAATATTTTTAAAATGTGTTCCTCATGGTTTAAACATTTTCAATTTAATTTTAATTCTGAAAACAAACAGTAAAATCGCCAGTGTCCAATTACTGGTTGGTAAAAAATTTAAATTTCTATTATTGGACATATGTCCAATATCATTCTCTATTTGTATGCCGAACATTTACCAGCCAATTCTTATGTAAAATTGTCCCCTGAATCCGAAAAGACCGTCAAAAACTATAAAAGTTCAGCAGTTTTTGAGATATAGCCAATTCCATATTATATGTAAAATTGATTATATTTTAAAAACTGTTCTTCTTTTATAACTTTTGACGACATTTTCGGATTTAGCGTATAATTTTTCATAGGCTAAATGCCCTGTATACAAATTGCTGTTGACGAGAATTTTTAGTGGCTGCTTTTTCTCTATGACATTTTTGACTAATTCATTTTTAGAGAGTAGTGTAGTGATTTCTTCGTCACAGGACATCTTGCATAATAACTGATTTAAATACAGTGCATGATAGAGAACATAAAAAACTAATGGCAACAAAATTAATAAATTCGGAAAATACTTTTAACATACCACCCGAAAAAATATTAGATATATATAAATCATCCTGTTCCGGCCTAAACATTATAAATGCTTCACAAACTAGAGATACCACACTTAATGATATTTCCTACAAACTATTTCAGAAGTCAGACCAAGGTTAGTAGTTACCTTCAGAATCCAGAAAAGGGATGAGGAATCCGAGAAAGAAATATATGAATTATATGATATTTACAAAAACGAAATAAAAAAAATTACCTAAAACAGCAATTTGTCTTTAGAAAATATTTAACAATTTATGATATTTGATGTAAAGTTGTTATGTTTATATAAAAATTGTATGTCCAATAACTATGGTCCATGTGTCCAATTACTATACTTTTTTGCATGTTTTTATAAAAATATTATTAAAAATTCAAATATTCCTATTTTTAAGTAAACGTAAATAAAGTTTACACAAAAAAACTATTCATATGCATATATAAATTTTAAATAAATAATATTCCTTAAGTGTCCAATAACTATGTGGTTTACCTTAGGGTTTTAAAGTGTAGGAAAAAACCGGAAAAATTGGGAAAAAACCTGTTTTTTCCCAGGCCTTGGAAAAATTGGCTTTTTTGGGATAAATTGATTTTTTTTGGAAATATACTCATTTGAAAAAAAGTAGAAATTAATAACTTAGCATTATTTTAATTAAAAAAAATCAAACAAATTTAACTTAACATTGAATTAAATTAAATTGATTTAAGAAAATAAATGTAAACGTTAAATATACTCTTGGTTGGGTCTTTTTTGCAAAAAGAAGTCAATTAAAAATATTGAACTACAAAATAATTAATGATTTATAAAGTTAAATTACAAAATTATAATTTTATAAATCAAAGTATGAAATAAATATGTTGAATTTGTTTTTTGCGGCCCGGTAGAATATTCTTAAACAGCGTCGGAAATTAATTTTTTTCTTGATATCAGTGTACGGATATTATCCTTAAAAATTTGGGAATTTTTAGAAAAATTGACTTTTGCATTTTTTTGTTTTACCCTTTGAATAAAATTTAAAAATGAAAAAGTCAATTTTTCTGAAAATTTCCCAATTTTTCCGTTCTTTTCCGCCGGCTCAATTTTTCCGGAAATTTTAAAACCCTACTTTACCTAGTGGATTTTTAAAAATGACCGATCAATGAATTTGCTTAAGCAACTTGAATATTTTGCTCATCTTTTGCGAGTTTAAAGAAAAACTTCACCCCTTGTAGAATGCGCTTGGTGCGGCAATGGCAATGGAGTAAAAAAGGGCAAAACGGACGTATTTTCGACGGTAGCGCAAAAGGCAATTAGCAGGCGTGCAGTGAAAAACCCAACAGGTCGAAATAATTTTATTACGCGTTTTCCTGCAAAACACTAATTTTATTAAAACGGGCTCTAATATTGACAATTTAATGAAAATTTCGTTGCTTTGTAGCGCGCCGGGAGGTAAAAAATCGCGCGGGCTTTGTGTTCCCGCCCGCGAATATGGAAATTTCCGAGATCAAAGAGCGCCCCGTAATTGCGCACGATTCATTCATATCTAATAAAACTAATAAATTCAATTGGTCCGAATGAAATAAGCCACTCGAATATCCATGCCATCCAATTCCAATTTACCGACCCGAGAGCCCCCCTCCCCCAACTCTTCCCCTCCCGCGTAATTACAGTTTTACTTTCAACGACTTTTCGGCTCGACAAGGTATCATCCACTTTCGACCGAAGGATCACAATATTTAATTACCAATTTAAGCTAATTGTTAAGCAAAGAATTCAATACATTTAAATACTACACAATCATTACACTGAGCAACATTAAACCTGTTTGTTTATACACAGTTTTAACAAATATAGTATTAACCACTTTTTTGCTTAGAACATAAATTATGGTGTTAAAGGCAGAAAGCTTTGCAAAAGAGGTAAAAAGGGACATTTAGGTAAAGAAACTACAAGTTTTTCGTTCTTTGCCTAAAAATCTGGTGTCCAGATGATGCAAGAAACGAGGGTACAGGTACACGAAGCGAGTAAAGGGAAGCCAGAAAACAGAAAGTTTTGAGTGTTAGCGAACGCATCGCTTCTTGTAAATTTTTGCTGAAACGAAATGTATTGTAAAGTTCTGTTAAAAGTGTTTGTGTATTCTACAAGGTTAACTAGTTCTTAAGCCAGAAAACAGGCACACAGTTTTGAGTGTTAGCGAACGCATCGCTTCTTGTAAATTTTTGCTAAAACGAAACACATTTTCTTTTAGCTAATTTTACAAAATGTTCTTGGGTTTTATGTTTACTGTTTATTCTAAAAAATTTAGATTTCATTATTTTATTGTTTAACACTGTACTTTTAACTTAAATGTTTAGACCTTACCCGTAGCTCAAAATATTGGTCCTATATGGGGCGCGTCTATGCCCAATATTTTACCTGGGGCCAATATACAATGATAATTTAATATATCTTGCCAATGTTTATCCAAGGTTGGTCCTATATTGGCATATTATTGTCTATACTAGTGGCGCAGGAACGGTTTTAAGTTGGGGGGTGGCGCAACCGACTATCATCCTTATTGTTTAGCACTAAATGGGTGAAAATAATAAAGGCCATTCTTGCATATTACCGTAAGAATAACAAGGGTAATATGCGATTTCTTGTCTTATTAGCAATAAAATTCGTTATTACGTTAATAAAGCTCGCTGATCATTTTAGCACACAATACAAACGATTTTAGCATTTTATCGTAATTAAGAATAACATTGACGGTACACGACTTGTCTTATTGGTAGATTTTTTCAAAGAATTTGGAGGGTACATTTTATATCAAGTAACCCCCCTCTCCTCCTTATCGTTTAGGTGGGCATTGCCACGCCCTAAGTACCTACTATAAACATTTCCTGAAAACGTTTGTCGACACGATCGTGACATATCACTTTTAGAAATCTTACTACGTAGTGAGTACTAGGTGGCTATCTTTTTTTTCTTTCATTTTCTCCCTCAACTTTCCTAGAATATAATGTCAAACAACTTCGGGCCAATCTTGGGTTTCAATATTGACCCATAATAAAAAAAATCTGACGAAAGATATATTGGCCCAATATTATAACGAACGTGTCATGCAGTAGATATTACAATGCTCCACACCGTGAGGGACAACTGGTCACCTAGGTTCTCTAGTCGACATCGCAACTTTTATCCCGACCTTCATCCTTAGGCGAGATGTTTCCAGAGTAGACGTCGTTCCCCATGTCAACGTTAAATGTAAACTTTAACGTTGACAGACTAACGGTTAACTGCGCTCAGAGCTGTCAAAGATACTTTTAAAAAGTATCTAGATACAAGATAAGTTACTTTTTGAAAAAGTATCCGAAGTTACTTTGGGTATCTAGTTACTCTTTAAAAAAAGGAACTTAAATACTTATCTTAAGTTACTTAATAAGATACTTTTTTAGTTACTTTGTATATTATGTAATAAGTTTCGTATAAACTGCCCAACAAAAATTCGTTCCAACCCCACCCTGATTTTTCAAATAATTTTAAGCTTACTTTTTTAACAATTTTTTTCAATAAAATCTAGTTGATTAAAACCATTGAAGGGTCTAATGCAAAAAGTGTCTAACTTAGGCACTTTTAAAATATCTTAAAAATAAAAAGAGATAAAATCGTTAATTAAACACCACTTACTTATAAAAATAAAAAAATTATCTCACACTTTTCATTTAATCTTTTTTAACATTTTTTTAAAATGGAAAACATACATTGAACATTATAGAATGTACAGTACAATGTAACAACCAATATCCTACATCAGTACATCATAAAGAAGCAAGTGCAAGTACTTACCTAACCTAACTTATTTCAGACTTACCACTATAAATTCGAGTCGCAACGAACGGAAACACCCTTCTACAGAGCGGGTGGCGAAGTCACAGATTATAAAAGAAGTATAGGTGAATAAAAATTAAGTAGGTACCTATAACAAAAATCGCCGCCAGTCGATTGGCGCCAGTCGCTGAAGTCGCCAGTATACTTATTATAATAACTTCGATGGCCGCGGCCGTTTCGAACAACTTGACTAGATACTTTTTGGTATCTAAATTACTTTTTGGTATCTAAGATACTTTTTTTAAGTTACAAGATACAGTTCCTTTTAAAAAGTATCTAAGATACTAGATACTTTTTGTTAAAAAAATAAAGGAACTAAGATACAGTAACTTAGATACTTTTTTCTACTCTAAAGTAACTAAGATACTTTTTTCTGACAGCTCTGACTGCGCTGTTAATTAACAACTTTTTTTTTTATTCCTCTGCTACTTCATAGCAGAACACGACTATTTTTCTCTAGCTCTTTTTACCTGGTAGTATCTTCCTTGCTTGTAAAACGTTTGTAAAGTAAATTAATTTGGGGTAAACTAAACAATGTATTCTATTTTTTTTATACCTAATTTTCCAACAACGTAGAGATCATGTAAAACTTATTTTAAACGAACTTGGTGTAAGGAGAAATCTTTACAATACTTAAGAAGAGAAAATTCTTCCCCAACTATTTTCTTGACGAACTTGACTATTGTGGACTATTGTGGAGCAGAACAATCAGTCGGCGTTGGATGTAAGTAGAAGAGCACGGTGTGGATCTCTTTCTGAATTATTTATAGCTAAAAACACAAACACTTTTCACCGCTCGAAAAGAGCGAAGCGCTAGAAGCAGAGGAATCGTATTCGATTGGAAGCGGGAGCAGGGCAATTAAAGAGATCCAAAACGGTTCGGCGGGCGTAATGTAGTGGAATGCGGGAAAGTGCGTGTTTTCCACCCCCCCCTCCCCCCTCTCCTCCTTCGCCGAGCCATGCAATTTGCATAATGTAAAACTATTTCTAAATACTCTCGGCGCGCTAATGGATTTATATCGCATTTAGATTTGTTTTGCGTCTAGTGTTTGAATTATGGTTTTTCCGTTTCCTCCCCACACAGAATCGTGCCATTAGTTCGAGTTAAGGGAACTAGCGGCGCATTTTATAACCCATGAACTTTTTTGCGAATATTAATTTTATTTGTCTGCCTGTCAAAGGAATTTCCAACCGAGCCATTTCACACAGTATTAACCGCTTTTTTAATTGTTTTTGGCCTCTTAATGGTCACTAATTTCTCTATAAATAACAATTACAAGGAATGATTAAAAACTTTCCTACTAGAAAACATAATACTGTTTCGACATATCTGCCTCAAATTACCTTTCTGATCGCAATTAATGAGTTGAACTAAACTATGAATTGTCAACATTTTCGTTTTTTACAAGAAGAGTTCCCAAAAGTTCCATTCTTGGACTTCTTTTTGCAATATTATCATCAGAACTTTGCGAAATAGTATCATCTAGCATTAGGGTGTCCGTTATTTACCAACTTGGTTTTTTTGCGCCTATAGGTTCAGTTCTTTCTTATAAATATTACCAGTAATGGGTCAAGAAAGTTTATTGAAGAAACTAAGAAAATTGAATGTTTAAAATGTCATGAGTTACTATATTGTATATTATATTTAAATATATTGTATACTTGGTTGCATAGTATGTACCGATTGCGGCAAAGGCCACGTCGCGACGCGTCGTTAGACGGTGTGGATCACGTGCTGTTCTTACATCTCGCCTCTGTTGGCTTACCAACCATGATATATAAGCTCAGGTATTTCTTTGTTTTGGGTGTGTTCCACTATTACAAGTGGCTCGACAGTGTCGTGTCGACACTGATAATACCCAATATAGGTCAAAACACCTGTCTGTCGGTATTTGAAGTTGATGGAACGCACTCAAAACAAAAGACTTTGGCGAGCTGTAGGTTCAATTCTTTCTCATAACATTTTTGTATATTAAAAAGTACAATAAATATGTTACAATATTTAATTGTTAACAAATAAAAATATTCGATTTTAAAATATTTTATTTTTAAAACATTTGGCAACATAATATTTTAAAGTTTACTATACTTATTAGTAATGGAAAAAATCTAATTATAATAAGAATTAAAAATAAAATTGGTTGAGAATAATAATATTTTACCTTAACACGTTCACTACCGGCGTCCACTATAGTGGCCAATCGGTTGGCTCACCATGAACCGCGGCCACTATACTGGCCTCAAATTTAATCTTACTTAGGTGCAATATAAATTTAGCTGGGTCACAAGTGGTGACTTGTATGTTGTCTTCGGTCTATAACGCGAGTACGGCCAGTTAAGTGGCCTCTGGTTCACTTTTGTGGCTTTATTTACAGTGACTCAGGTTTATTTCCTACTCCAGTTTATGGGTTCAAAAGATGTCGAAGTTGGTTTATTACAAGCGACCAGCTGTAACACGACGGTAGTGAACGTGTTAAGGTTTAACATACATGGATATTTAAAAATTACTAAATATGCATAGTATCTGGCAATATACAAGATAGTTGTCCCAAATAGTAATATAAATTATAGTAAAGGGTATTATAATTATGGTAATCAGCATTATACTTTTCTCTCCGTGTAGAGGGTTTATTGTTACAAGATTTCTGCATATATGCACATGCACATTTGTATACAAATGTGGACCACCCTATGGATATAATCCATATATTGTATGGTTTCCATATTGATGTTTAAATTTAATTTAGTAGGTAGATAAAAATAATACGTAACTTCTCGTAGCCTTGTATGTTGTTTATTGGATATCCTTTTAGCTCGGGTATAATATTTCGCAGTTGAAATCCGTTTAAATAAAATTGCATAAATTTAAATCCCGTGATGCAGTAGATTAAAATCGAGCAGTTTTATTTTATACCTGCCTCGTTAAAAATTATAATTGTTTCTAAAATGTCATGCTACAATTAAGCTTGCATTACAATTAGTATTTTATTTATTTTCCTGCCTTTTTAGTTTGGATTTTGAGCGTTGTTTACATGTTTTAATGATTGTAGGATTATTAACGAAACTTTTTCTCAACAACAGTAATTCGATTTTCAGCGAGAAACAATCGCTAACTGCCATTGCAGGCTTATCGAAGGGTGAAATGGAACGGCTTTAAAAAACTAATTATTCAAATCTTGGGCAAACAAAGGCCCGTAACGTAACGTGCAATTCAAACTTTTCCCCGGACCGGCTCGCCCGTAGTTAGAGTTACCGCGAGACGAGACGAGACGAGATAAGGACTTGTCTCGTCTCGTCTCGAAATTTCGAGATAATATTTTTCGAGACGAGACGAGACAAGTTCGAGACGAGACGAGACAAGGCCTTATCTCGTCTCGTCTCGTTTTGTCTCGTTTGTCTCGAATTGTTTTGGTTTTTTGGTTTATCTCAATTTAATTTTGAATTATCGGATAAATTCAATAAAAAATGTCTTACTCAAAAAACAAAAAAGATATAAGCTCTTAGTGGGATAAACTAAAATGATAACGCAGTTATTCGCCTCACTCTTAAAAGATCCACGTCACAAATTGGAAACCTTTTCAATGACTTTCTGTGGTGCAGAAATGAAAAATAAATCATACCAAAAATTTGAAACAATTTATTGTAAAAATACGCACCGACTAGGCCAATTTCACCTATACAAGAAACTGAAGAAAAATCTGGCTCAGATGAAGACATGGATATTGAATTTTTATTCAAAAAGGCTACTCCTCAATCCGAAACTGAAGCGTTTTGGAAACAAGAACTAAACGCAGAGAGAGCATCAAAAGGGGAAATATTGTTGGAATGGTGGAAAAGAAATGAAGTAAATTATCCACACATTTCAAAGATGGCAAGAGACCTATTAAGTATTACCGCAACAAGCGTTCCTTCAGAACGCCTTTTTTCAAAAGCTGGATTAGTAGTCACTGAACTTCGGAATCAACCTAATGCTGAGTCGGCTCGTTTATTATTATGTCTTAATTCATGGTACGTTAAAAGATAAGCTAAACTTTGATTAGTAAAACTTACCTATTCCTATACTTACCCCATGCTGTAATACTAAAATATTTTTTAATGATTTAGGATTTTTTTTAGTTACCTATTAGCGCTTGAGAAGGCACGACGCGTGTGTGAAAGCTCGGTCATTGGGGAGTGAAGTGTTAAGTGATATGAATGAGTTAAGTGCCACCTGTCATTGGACGCTTTTCACTGGAGGTCAAACAAGAGGGGAGGTGGCCATCCGCAAAAAAATTGATAAGTTACCTTAAGAATATGCATGACCTAATACAAAATCTGCAATTTAAATACGGCATATATTTTTAGGGCAATAAATCTGTCAACAACAAATGCGTAATGCAATCCCAAACGAAACCGAAAATAAACACTAGACTTACAGAATAAACTAACACATTAATCACTATAACTCTAACACAGTAAAAAAAAGCCTAATAACCAAACTCTACTAGATTTGTAAACATTAGATAACAGAATAATTGCGCTTGTTTAACTAATAAATAAATGCAATACTTTATTTTGGAATTTAAGAAAAAAGGACAAAACTCTACCACAAAACGTGCTTGGGACAAAATTTATTAAAAACAACTGACACACTTTACCAAGTGCAGGAACTATCTGACCAGGATACGGACAATGACAATAACGAACAAGACAAAGACCTCGACTAGGAAACTACACCCCTGCAGCGAAATAACAACTCCCCAACTCCAAATAGTAATCCCAAATGTTTGGAGTAATACTAATCGACTGGTCTAGGGGGATTCCGCGTCGTACTTAGTTTTAAGTCGGCGTAATTGTCCCCCAAAAACCAACACCTTCCCGTCCCTCCTTCTATACCCTACTGGGCGTATAGCATCGGCTCGGCGAACCCGAGAATGGCTATTAAAACTATTCGCATCTCGCTCTCGAGCCCCAAATAGGGGACAGTACGGAACGCAATGGACATTCGCACCCAGCAAACACGGGTGAAGCCGTGCAGTTGCTGGGGGCGAACAAAAATCGGCGTAAGTAAACATAGGCCTGTACGGGGTCCAAAAGTGATGATGAAATGGGGCTGGTTATACGTCTCTTATACTCATATACTCATACTCATACTTACCTATTTCCCTGTAATGTGATATTCGTACTAACAATGTTAATGATATATTTAATATTTATTTTCAGTTTAGAGTTTATTGATTTATTTTGTTTATTATAAATACATTTATTTGGTTTCTTTTTTACTGTTTATTCTCTATAAGGTATGTATGTATGTGTCCTCGAAAACACCATGCAGTTTTTGAATAAAGGTTTTATATTTTATTACAAGTTTTATTTTAACAATTTATATGCACGAATTACCAGCTCATACCCTATAATGCTGTTTTTTGCTAATTCTGAAGTTAAAAACAATTATTAAAACTTAAATGCTGTTATTACCATTCGTTTAAAGCGTATTAAGTCATTAAAATATTTCGAATATGTCTCGAATATGTCTCGTCTCGTCTCGTCTCGCCTTGTCTCGAAGGATGTTATCTCGTCTCGTCTCGTCTCGAAATTCGAGACAAAATGCTCTCGAGACGAGACAAAATGGCTTCGAGACGAGACGAGACGAGACGAGACGTCTCGTGTCTCGTGTCTCGCGGCACCTCTACCCGTAGTGTAACTGGTAGCCGTAAAAAAAGTTTCGTCGTGAAAAGGTAAATTCCGGATAATTAAACGGATTAGCTCGAGTCAGTTAAGCATCGGGAAACCGGGGAAACGGGAATAATCTGGATTGTAATGAACTTACAATACAACAATAGGCTACAATCAAGCGGCGGACAGGCTTCGTCGAGCGGGAAATCTTAGCAACATATTCGAACGTTTCTTCTGAACGGGGGCGGTTCCGCCGCCCCCTTACTCCGCGAGTGCGAGAGAGACAGACAGCGAGTACCCCTTTATATTGCTTGATAATCGACCGGATGAACGGCTTAATCATCGAGGTAGCAAAAAGGAAATATCACTC